GTGACCGCTACACGAGTGAGGGGACCATTGGTCCTCCAGAAATGTGTTTGCTGCAGGAGACCCAAACTGTCTCTCGAGATGCATCTGGCCCGTTGCATGTGATGATGATGTCCGCACACTCGCTGCAGCAGCAGCACGTGCTGCAGCAAAGTGCAGAAGCAACTGTACTTGCAGCACCAGCCACAGCAACAGCATTAACAGAAGCGGCAGCTGCAGCGACAGAAGCAGCACTATCGCAGCGATAGAAGCAGCAGCAGCCGTAGTATGTATCAGCAACCACAGCAACAGCAGCAATCGCACCAGTGGTCCTGTGGTGCTGCCGTTGTAAGAGGAGTCATCGATCGTATTCTAGGGCCGTCGTGAGCTGCAATCAAAATTCTCAATATAAGACTTTCCGCACAAGTATCTTTCATCCTCTCCAGGCTCAAAGCGTTTCCTCTGAGCTCACTAGCCCAAGGATCTGGGGCTGTTTGGCGGAGACGAGGCGACATGAAGAGAAGTGCAACACACAGTGCTGGAACGAGCGCTGCAAGGAGACCCCAGATGCAAGCATATCCAAGCACCATTCTCTGTGTTAAATATGGCTATAGGAAATATTTGAACAGAGGTATGGATCTAACAGAGTCATTGCGCACACAAGCAGAGGCATACACTTCACGGGGATCAGGGTATAACTGGAGCTCGGGGCTCACCAGAGCGCGTCGCAGCCGTCTTCTTGGGGCCGGTAAACCCCAAGAAGGAAAAAATAGAAAAGTGAGGAGAAAGAGGGACAACGGCGTCTAAAGAAGCATCTTTGTTGTCCTGCTGCTGTTGCCGTCTGGAGGCTCGTGTATGAGACTGCTCAGGGGGGCGGCCACTGGTCAGGTGCAGCGAGCGTTCTATACACGCCGATTGAGTTCAGAGCCGCCTTTTGAATTGGTTATACCAACGTAGTAAACAATCTACACAAAGCCACACTCACCAAGCACCACCAGTGAGTCCCTGCATGCGGCTTGCCAGCCCCGTAATGTGGCCTCCAACCCCAAAATATGAACCAATACACCTGCTGTCCGGGGCGGCGTCAAGGTAACCATAAGCAGAGAAAAGAATACAGACCACATGAAAATAGAGCACGCTAACGCGTTTTCTCACGTAGCAGTTGCCGAGCATGCCGGCGGTATTCCTGCACATCTTGCTGAAGCAAAGGAGGTCACCCTCGTGGTTCAACGATTCATCCTCATTGCTGGGCCCCCCCGAAATCGTTGCTGACCTCTCGCTGAAGTTGAGCAGGAACGCTCAGGATGAGAGAGGGCACGCAAGTGTACTTTCCTTTGGGTGTGATGACAAATATTGCCGTCTTGTTCCTCTCCTGTCGTGGACTGGGACTGGGGGACTGGTTGGTGAAGACCCGCCATATGTAATGCCGCGTCTCCTCCGTAGTAACGTATAGACTGCTGAACCGTGCAAATTGTCAGGCCGTTTGTCCATGCGGAAAATCAGAAAATGTTGTTTCCCCGTGGCTTTGTTGAGCAGAGTGGAATCGACGCTCGCGGAGAGCCTCCCGTCTGTTTTCCTTTCAGTGACGGGTGGTGGACTGCAGTCGCCGGGCGACAGCAGATCGTCTGCTTTCCATTGATTCTTTCTTCAAGATGCCGGGGTGGCAAGTGCTTCGAAATAAAGCTTGGGGTTGTTCCCAGAGTAAGCTCGACGCAGTCTACTGAGCGTCCAGCAGGGGAGCGGCCTGCTGGTACCCCCGTGCTGTTTGATACACCGGAGAACTCTTACTTCAATTGCTCTCAGCTTCTCTGTACTGAGGGTGTTCATCGGATAGAACTCTGTACACTTGTTGTCTTTTTGACACCCTGGTGACGGGGTGTATGCATTTCTCCGTCGTCTCCTGCAGCGCCACTGCGCCGCGTAGGAGCATCCATATTCTTTTTTCCTTGGGAGACCGCTTCAACCCTTCTCACCGTAGAGGATGCAAAGGCAGTTTAGAAGGATAAAAGTTGCACGCTCTCATTGTTTCCAGCCAACAATTCCTCAGTAGCATCGTTTGTGCGGCGCGTTTGCTCCCTCAGTACAGAAAAGCTGAAAGAAGCTGAAGGAAGAGTTCTCTGATGTATCAAA